ACCTTTTTTTGGCTGGAAGGTATTAAAAGCAATTGCTATGGACCTGTATCTGAATTAAATTCACTGAGTAATCAAAATTAAGTCAGTTGAATACTATACAGAAAATCGTATTTATTCGGGATATTTTTGCATCAAACGGTAGATGACGAATTTTGCAGAACTTATTGAAAATGTCTGAATTAAGATGTTTTAACACTCCTAGATGTTGCTGGAAAATTCAAACGGTTTTTAGTACTCATTTAGTCGAACTATTCTCAACAATTCATGTGTGGAATACGCCCCTATATCATTTACATGTACTGGAATCATTCTAAACATTTCAAAATACATTATCTACATCGATTTAAATGTAATGAAACAAACATGCAGAATGTGGGATTTGCCTAAATCCTAAAACTCGTTTTTCGAAACGTATTTGACAATTATTATTTAAAAAACCCAAAACACGCGTAATGGGAATTATTTCAATTTAAGCGTATTTAAATTACTACTGCCTGCAAAAATTTTAGGAAAATCCAGTTCTAGTTTTAAATCGAGAGTAATTGAAGCTATAGTCAATTGAAGTCTTACAGGAATCGCTTACGATTTGTCAATTATTCTCTCTTATAGTCTCTTATCAATTTCAAGAACATGCATGAGTCATGGTCCCTCTGAACGCATTAATTGGTTTAATTATTTGAGCATATTGGTCAATTTTGTGCAACGTGGATATCGTAATAATATTATATTTACGCCAAAAAATTCATTCGTTTATTTCGCTTTAACATTTCATGCATGATGCATTATTTCATGCAACGGCAATTTTCTTGCCAAAAATAGTAGAACGTACAAACGATCTGTTCAACAAACTGTATAAATAATGTATCGGTGATGAATAACATAAATGAAGCGCATATTGAGGCTAATTTCCGAACTTTTCTTTAGGTACATTTTCAGTGTATGGAACCCAGGCTACGCAATTCACATCCTTTTTCTAAAGTAAACAAAGTATTTGCCTAAAGCTAGTTGAAGCTTAGCAATCGCTTCTATATAGATTAATACAAATCCTTTGAAAATAGTACCTTGTCATGGAATAAATCAAAAAACGCACTAAACGAAAATAAATCATATTTAAAACGTTTATTAGAGCAACACAATGTGTGTTTATATAAATCATTATGAATATAAAAGCTAAAACAAACAGAACCAATTTAGTAATAAATTTTATCTTTGAAAATGCACCGGTTAAATATGTTGTTATCTATGTATTATAGCAATTGTTGAAAACCTTTGATTTAATTTGATTTTAATTTGCTTCAAGTTCTCGCAAATATTTTACAAATTTTTCGAAAACCGTGTTAATAAATCATTCGGTAATTTCGGTTAAAATAACTTTATTCTATTGCCACATAATTTTTCAGATATGATAATCTGCATTCTAAAAATACAGGGTATTCACCTCAAGGTAAATAACTATTAGTGTCCAAATATATCATTATCACTTAATGGTTACATTATGAACTTCCGATCCTATCATAATTTACAGCAGTCACATATTGGCTGGCATTTTATTTTTATTTGAAACTGAGATACTTTCATATGTGGGCGCAGCAAACCTATGGCGAAAAATTATTCACAAACTAAAATATTTATAATTTTTCACTTACCTCATTACGATTAAGTTTTCACAATTATTTTCCATCTAAATGTGACACGTCGATTTATTTATACAACGACAAAGTCAAAAACTACCAGCGAAGAGCATTTTGATTACAAACGATATAGAAAATACGATTGTACGGCCGCGCGGCTAGTAAGTTACTTGAAATCATTATAATGGACAGTGACAATAACATTTACTCTATTTGTTAACAAGTCTTAACGCAAGGTCTTTATAATACGAACCCTATTCTTTGTATTAGCTACTTTACTGAGGACGGTTTCTCATTCGCTCAAGTAAGCAACATCTGAAGTGAACTTCCTTTTTTTATTTCAAACTGCTCTTAAATATTTTTATGAGAAGTTTGATTTCCCTAAATCCTTGAAGTATCTGAATCCAAGACAATTAACTATTAATTAATAACTTGCTTTAGAATTAGGTCAAGTTAATAAGAAAAAATCCGAATTACAACGTTTTGATTTAAAACATCCAGCAATCTGCTTTGTTAAAACACTTTTTACCCAAAGCCCCATTTTCAGTTGCATTTTAGCTAAAAACCCAATCTCGATAACAAAACAATATATTGTGCCATTTCATTGGGTCCTTAGTGTATTATTTTGTGTAGGTATATAATGCGGCTGTAAAAGTTTAATTTGCTATTTCGGCTTGGTAATGTGCGTGTGTATATGCCCGCTCTTAAAACCGCCTATTTTTCTCATTAAATTTAAACGATTTAACTGCAAAATAAACATTTTGAAAGGAAATGTCAATTGCAAACTAGCACCGAAGAAATAGGATATTTTTGCCTTTAATATTCTTTAACCACTTTAGCTCTACATGCGTCTTAAATAATACCGCTGCGATTTTTCGCAGCTCACGAATTATGCTTTAATTCTTTTAATGTGCTCAATTAGATGACGTCCCACTAGCAGAGGAGACATCCTTAAGGAAGGTTGGGTTGAGCAAAATATAATTTTTTTATTATAGCATACGTGTATTTATAATATATATGTATATTATGTATTTATAATATGTATAATATGTGTTATAATGTGTATGTATAATTTATAACATACGTAAATTTAATAAAACAGATTATACTAAGTGATAATAATAATTTTGTTGATTTCAGCTACAGAATATGAAATTAAGAGCCATTTTATCACAAATAGTGGAATCCACGAAATAAAACACAAACGAAACATGCTTTTAGGGTTCTATACATTAGATTTTTAAGCTAACAATATTCTTTTAAGTTGCATAATCGGTCGGATACAACGTTGTACAGCTTTATATACATATAGAATGGCGATTTCTTTGTTAGCTGTAAAATAATTTACATTTAAATTTCTATTTTTATTAATTATTTAAACTTAAATGTAAATTGTTCCCAATATTCCACACTCCCAGAGGTCGAGAAACAGACCTACAGCTCTGGAGGTCACTTAATTATCTTGGTTTTTCTGAATAGATATATTCTGCTCGTATGCTACTCTCAAGGAATTCTTAGACATGTATTTACCGATAAACGTATATAATGTACTTAAACTGCGCTTATTGCACAGGGAAAAAATTCAGGGGCAGCAGTAGCGAACTTCAGATACTAAAAGACAATATAAAACACGTTTTAAATGGAGATTAACACCAAATTCAACAAAGAACAAAAACAACATGCATTAAATACCAAAATCGAAATATGTAAAGAACAAAACTCTGTTGATCGCTGATGACTGAGATTTATTACTGGGAGCTGTTGGTTTTTTAATCATTTAGTTTTCATAATTATATCGCTTTTTTTCCCTTTCTTGTACACTTAGCTACAAACGCAACTACACTGTCCCAAAATATATTCCAAATGTGTCCTTAAAAAGTTCAAAAGAAACGATTGGGGATATTTTAAGAATTTTTATCATTATGATTTAACAAATTATTAATTAACTCTTTATTCATTTAACAAATATTATTATTAATGCAGTTATAATTTTACATTATTTATGTATTTATTATGTTCTGTATTATTTTATACCGAGTAATCTAGTATAAAATATTCATATTTGCTTACAGGATATAGTGAGCTGAGAAATTTTGCAACAAGGAAATATTTAAACTACATAATGAATTATCTCACGATTGATAACGTTTTCAGACATCTTATTTACTTACCTCTACCCATTTGATATGAATTTATTTCTTAGAATTGAAAAAATTTTACGCTTTCATTACATAAACAGTTACATTTATTATTACATTATTCGGTATTATTTTAAAAGCGCAATCCACATTGGACATACTTCTGAGTCCCTGACGAGTGATAATTATTTATACACATTATCACATCATCCCAAATTAATTATGCTGTTAATATCTGCGTGTACCTACCTGCTACTTTGCAGGAATTCCGAAATATTATATACATGAAATATTTGTATATGTGTTAAAAATGCACGTATGAAGATTTTGAATATATAAAAATAAAAAATAATTTCCGTTTGATGACTTCCTTTTAAATAACAAATTGAAAATTAATGCAATAAACACCAACAATCAAGCTCTGGAAGGAAAAAGTTGATCCAATAAAATATATACTAGAATTGGAGCAAAGTAAACAAATATGTAAAATACTGCATAATAATTTGAGATATAAAGCACAAATTGACGAATAATAAATGCCTAAAAAGTAGTAACGGGAAAACTGAACATTGTTTCGCATTAAATAAACGTACTAAACCCAAACAAGATGGAAAGATCGAAGAAAGCTTGCATATTAAAATAAAGCTGCTTAAACTTAAAATTAATTAAGGTTTAAATAAAATCAGCGGAAGATGATACCTTTGTGACTAACGAGATATTATAGATATTCGTTTTACATTTATGGAATGTTGGCTCTGTAGATTTTAAAAAGTCATCTTTTTCGAGGCCCTGAAAATTCATAATAAAAAATTAACATTGAAAATCCTCCAAAATTATTATTTATTATCACGATTCAGTTTATGTAAGGATACAGTCGTTGATGGAGCACATTATTTTAATAAATATGTGTGGACTCACGCCAAATTGCAATTTGTTAAAAACTCGGTTAGTTTGGAGCATTAGGGAGTACAATTTACTATTTCAGCTCACGATAAACTCTTACAATTGATTTATCACTTAAGCTAGCTCTACTTTTATTTATCTCGAATTTATGTGCCGTAGTGTTCCCAAAATAATAACTGTTTGGGACTGGACAGAAAGTTCAGTTTTTTATGAGGTATACACACTAATCTCCAATAAAGTTTTTTTTTATGGCACTTTGCGTTCAGTTTTACTTGATAGGCAATAAATGTAATATAAATATAAAAAGATAAAGAAAAAAAACAACACGTTTATAAGCTTGAATAAGTATCTTTATTTGATTGTACAATTGTCATAGATACGAATCGAAATTCGAAGATAAAATCCCTGTATATGAACCGATATTCAATATAAAAAACGTAATTTAAGTATGTCTTTATAAAAGCAGATATTACAAGACTGGGAAGATAGAAAAATGAATAACTGAACCTAAAATCAACCAATATTTGCTAAATACGAAGAACAACTAGTTAACAGTAAATATTTAAATATTTGATTTATTAACAACAATCTCTTAATCACAGTTTCGTTTTCTGAATCAGGATGCAAATTTGACTCTCCGTTTTTTAACAGTAGAATGCTGCTTAATCAATAGAAAGGGTGCATATCTCTCTACTATGGGGCGATAGATTGAATAGTAAAGCATGTACTATGTTTTCCTCAAAAAACCAGTCCTCTGGTCTTGAGGTACATCGTCCCTTGCACAAAAAGGACTCGTAGATTTCATTCCTGCAGCCAATAATTGCCTTTGAGTGTTTGGAAAAGGTGGGGGTCTTACGATGGTCATGGTTTGTTGAGGAATTTTATCGTCGGTTTCGATTTTTAAAGACGAGTAAATCTCTTTTATAATCATTAAGATGCTATCTTCAGACCTCCAGTAACACACGTGACTGCTGATAGCAGACAAATAATCAATCACGATCTCCAACGGGGCTTCTTGCAGGACATAGTCAATCCGTCTACCATTATTTAGCTGCCCCATATTAAAGTCAATGAATTCAGGTTCAGGTTCGGGTTCTACCCCTTCACCTTCCTCCGATGTAGATTCGAGTGAAACGGGTGTCCCTTCATTTGATTTCTCTTCTGCTGCAGGTTCTTCTCGTTGGAAGAAGGCAAATTGATAAAACGGGTTCCATTTACTTTTCATCGAGTCGACAACTTTTTGCTTTAGATCAGCACCCACTCTAGCCATTGTTTCCTTTAATTCTAGAAAACTTCCCTGTTAGAACACATTTAAAATTCACTTAATTAAGGCTTACCTAAATGCATCCTTTTCCTGCCTTTATGATGAGGAATAAGCACAGGTTTTAGTTTGGCCAATTCTGGGTTGATCAGAGCTTCAATCCGGTATGCCACAGGATCATATGGATGGAATATATTAAAGAAAGATGGGCATGTGGGAAGACAAAAATCTTCTCCAAGTTGCGCAAGTCCTCTGACTGTTACGAACATACCTGCAAATATCAAGTTGCATAGAAGCGATTTGAATCACTTCGATTTACTAGGCTTATTTTACCAATGGGACTTCCCAGAGCAAAGAAGGTATGTGGTTTGAAATCGAGATGAGGGTAGGATATTTTTGGCTGGTTTGCATCAACTGTGCCCATCATGTAACTTATTCTCCTACAAAGTGTTTTATTGCTCCCGGGGGTATCTGAAAAAAAAAACAGCTTTTTGCGAACAAAGTCCAGAAAATGTATAAAATAAATTAAAACCTTCTTTTGGACTTTCTTCCCTAGTAGCTTCATCACTTGTGTCGTCTGGATGTTGATGTGCAAGCAGGTCAAAAATAATCAAAGATCCCAAACTGTGACCTCCAATAGATACTCCTCCCCGAAAAGAAGGATTTCTTTCTTTAAATAAGTTGTAAACCCTATTCAGTTCCTCTCCAACGGTGGAAATAATAGTTTGACAGTACATGGGACTTGTGTAGAACAATACATCCAGAATGGTTCCATTAGTCAATTCTCGAAGTCTTGGAATGCTTGGCAGGGTAATTTTCTTTAATTGATCATCTACTCCAGTTTCATTCGAATGAAGTCTTTCATGCCAATTAATAGGTAAAATCTCCACTCTATTAATAACTCCTTGCTCACAAGCAGATCGGTAGTGAGCCTGTGTCAGCTGTAGAGCAATATCACGAAATTCGTCAACTAGAACAAATCAGCAGACACGCAATATTGCGGAGAAGCGAAAAAAGCTACGAATTATTACCAGATTCTTCTACAGTTCTAAATCTAAGGTCACAGAATTTTCCGATTCCATGAACCATTAATAAAAGATGATCGACTTTCGCCGGTTCCCCATCGTCAATATCAAATTCATCCATGCCTCGCTTGACAATCTTAGGCTTTATTGGCATCTAGACAGCATGGAATGTTACCTAATATGTTTAACAAGTTTTAAACAATCACACAGTTTACCTGTGAAGCTGCATCGGTTGTTGATTGAGGAGGAAGCAACACTAAATCATTTGATGCACGGAATTCCACCGTTTCTCCGCTTGCCAATTTCACTTTTCGATGCCACTGACTCAATTCAAACGCAATTTTAAACTCTCCTTCCAACGTTGCTGCTATATTTTCATCATATGGCACATACTGTCTGTCGATATCATTTTTGTAAAACCAAGAACAACGCCTGACCTCTGAGACCGTTCCTTTCCAATATACTGGGCATTTTTGCCGTCGTAAAATATTCACGTCATAACGACCACCATCTGTCGCTATAACTTTGTCAGGATCCAAATCATCTAAGGTTGCAAAATGGTAATTGCACAAACAATGTCTTCACCTTAGTATTATTTACTTGAGATAAACGCATCCTCTAAAGCAAGAGAATCCACCGTGGAAAATGGCAGCCATGAGATTTTATCTTCTGCGACATTCTGATAGAACCAATGATGGTAAACAGGTCTGTAGGTCTTGCTAGTCTGTGCCTAAAAGGTCTCTCTGAAATCCTAGCTGAGAAAGTTCGATATCAACTTACGATATTTGTAGCTAATGTAGAATTACTATCAGTTTCTGTTGGTGGTCGGTGCAAAGCCTCGTTAGCAGGAATGGCATCCATTACTGGGCCTAAATTGATACTATGCGTGGAATGTTGAGGTTGAGGAATATTTGGTTTAACAGCCGGAACAGATGGTGGTTGAGGATTAATAGGTTTAAACTGGCTATTAAGAGCGAATGTAACGTCCTGAATAGAGGAAGTGGAGCTAGCAGGAGATAATGAAGGTTGAGGCACAACCGGAGGAAAAATTGACGACACGACTGGTGGAGGAATTGCCGGGGGAAAATAACTTGGAGCTATATTTCCAGCTGGCAATGAGTTATTACTTGTACTACCGGAAAGACCAGGAACTTTTGCGTACGTGGGACGTTTAAGTTCTGAACGGCGAAATGAATTAACAGGGCCTAGAATAAAGTTGAACATTCTCATGTTTCAATTTGACAAATCCATGCGATATATTTACGAACCTGAAATTGCCGGAGGTGGAATTGATACTTGACTTGGTTGCAGCAATGGAGCTGTTGGGTCGAACAATGGTACAGGTGGTGCGTTACTGGTATCCTGATTAATAAAGCTATCTAAAAGAGCTGGAGCAGGTGCAGTATATGCGTCCGAATCTATACTTTCCTTCTGACGGTTACTACTGCCAAATTTCAAGTAGTTTGAAAAAGATGATAATACAGAAGTTAAATTAGAAGCGGATTGTTGGGAAGTATTTTGATATGGTTGTTCGGGGGTTTCCACGTTAACTTCTTGGGTTTCCGGCTGAAGAAATGAGCCGGCAGAAGGTTGCGGATGGAAAGTAAAAGATTCTACTGGGGTTAATACTGCTGGAGCTGCATATTGCTCGGTCGAAGCCAAATTCTGTACAATTTGATCTAGAATTAAAATTCCAGAATTATTTCTACGGATATACTGGCGTATGTGGTAGTTGTAGGACTGTTAAATAAGTATAATACTTTAAGAGCCAAAATATTTTTTTTTCTCAGTTAATGGTTTTTGTATTCTGATTATGTTTGTGTTTTTTATTGCTAGATAAATAGCACTGGGGAGAGTTTTGTATATGATATAGCCATATAAATTACAACTGCTAAATAAAAACGGGAAAAAACTTTTTTTGGGGATATTTGCAAAAAAATCCTCACTTCACATCTGTCTTGTATTGTTCTGAACAAATCGAACAAATAAAAACAGGAATAAGAAACTTTGTACCGGATATTATATTTCCAAGCACATTTAAAACTGATATTCTAAATAATCAGAACATCATCATTTATCATGGATGTAAATTCCCTGGAAATGTATAAATTCCCAGTTTGATTTTTGATACAAGTAGTTTCATTTTAACCTGATTTATATCGGTAATAGATAAACCATTCCGTATATTTGAAACCACTTAGGAATTTGCAATGTAATTATTTATAATTCATTTTGGTGTAAAATGTCTCGAATTTGCTGGACATACATTACGGCCTGGAGTTTCTTCATTTCATCAAAAAATTCATTCAATAAAAAGCTTTTACGTTTGGTACTAAAAAAATCACGAGTTTTCTTTCACTTTCTTTACTAGGGTTGATCAAACTCATTAATATTTTCCAATTTGAATATATTCGCGTTAAAAAAAAATTTGTTCCGTTCAGAAATGTCCATTCAATTTCGACAATCGGTCAAAAAATACTGCGATAAATCTTATTTTTGCGGAGTGTAGTAAGAGGTCAATGACAGATTAAACGATCAGGAAAAATTACGAGTTTTTTCTACAAAAGTAAACTTTTCTTTACTAGAATTGGACAAACTGATTTACATTTTTCAATGTGAATAGATTAAAGCTAAGCAATATTCGGAGATTTTAAAGCTTATTTTAGGCGCAATTTGTTCCTTTCGAAACTGTACATTGAGTTTACCAAAAAAAAATATTTTTTGAGGAAAGTAGTAAAAAACGACAGATTAAGTTATCAGGAAAAGTTATGGATTATCTTCAAAAGAGCTTCAAACGGTTCAAAAAAACTGATTTTTGTTATTTCGGGGCATGCCACAAAACGTTTTTTTTTTACGTGTAAATATAGACTTTTTCGGACAACCAGCTTGTTAATTCAACACAAAAACCTTTAGAGTAAACAACTGAGCGTGTAATATTTAAATTTCAAACAATTGCATACGCATTTAATACTTGGACAAAAGACGTTGCGGTACGAAAATTGAGAGAACCTAATAGCGATCTCAAAAAAATGGAAAGATTAAATATAAACAATAAACATTTGGACAGATTAAGCGACAGGTCGATTTTAATGATGAACTAACCCGTCGTTGATTGGCGACTGCTAAACTGTTAACTGCTAGTTCGAAAATATTGTTAGTTTCGTTATGGATGTACTCTTCCTAAATAAATCGTACATCCTAAACCTGTCTTTATATTTTCCCCACCTCTGCACTGTAAAGCTTCAATTTGTAATTTGTTTGCCTCTAACATATGCAAATAAATCCGGTGCTATGCATCAAAGCAAATAAGCAATTTTTGCAACAATTAACTGTAACTAGATAAAAGACAGGATTTATTCTTCTAACTACAAACTACTTCCAATATGAGTTACGCATACACTCGACATTGATAAAAATACAATGCGGCAAGCAATACTTTGTTATTTAACCCTTTGAACGACTTGCAGTGGACTGGCTTAGCGGATGAAGGCCAAAAGTCTGAAAGCAATGTTAAAATCCCCAGTTGTTTTTCGCTAAAATAATAAATATATTCTGTTGATGAGCTTCTTTGTGCCAATGCTGATTAAACGATGACCGAAAAAGAATTATAACCTTTGCCTATGAACCTTAGCTGATCAAATCGTTTATGGCTGTTTTTGTTTGCAAACATCCGACCAAACCCACATGCCATATTTTAGTACAAAAACCGCGTACAATTTCGAACCCTATCAGTTGGTCATTGGAAATTAACTAAAACATGTGTCACACATACAGTTTAGTGATTGTGTTGTTTTTTTTTCACGGTGCAGCGAGAAGTGATGAATTATCATATAAATATGAATTACTCGATGATGCGCACACAGTCGATGATATTGATATTGGCGCCAAATATATAGCTCTATTAGTTGAAAATTCACCAATCGATTTTGAAAATGCTCTGAATTTTCTAAAAGGTGTTCCAAATATGAATAAAGCAAATGGCTACAGCGGAACGGATTTTTGGCTCATAACTTTTAACTCGTCAGGTTCGTATTTGGACAGTTTATAATCACATTAATTGGAATAAGTTTTAATTTAAGGTGTTTCGGCTGTTTTGGCAAGTAGCTTAGACAACAAATATAGCTTTTATGATAGCCTGGAATATTTGGAATTCCAAAGCAATCCAGAAATTGACTTAATTTCAAATCAATCATTGCCTTTATTCGCGATCATCCACACTGCTCGAATTTTGCCAAACAATGGAGCGATTATAGTTTTTAGTGACTTTGTTATAAATAAAGATAAATATCTCGAACAAATTGCTTTGGATAGTATTTTGAGTAAGAATATAACGGTAAGTATTTTCTTAACCGTGCAACAACCCTCCTTATAACATTTTTTGGAAAGGCGGGGGTAAAATGTATAATTTGCGACGAAATAAAAATTCATTTTAGGTTTACGCTATAAACAATGAGGAAAATATAACTAATAACGTGCTGAGTAATATTCTCGAATCATCTGGTGGCAGAAAACTAAATATTACTCCACCATACCGAAATAAAAACTACAAATACACCGCAGATATTGAACGCAATAAAATATCCCTTATTTTTTCAATGAAAAATTTAACTAATTTACTGGAGTTGCCGTTGGTTATAGGCTATAACGTTACAGCTATCCACATAACAATAAGTCCTAAAACCACATACGGATGTCTTATATCTCCAAAGGGTAAGAGCCAGTAAATCGCTATTAATTGCAGCTGTAATTTCAATACAACTGTTCCAGGTCACAAGTATTTGTTTTCGAACCATTTTAATCAAATAAACTACTTACAAGGATCGCAATTTCAAAAAGAAAATTGGGGCTTTCAACTATATTTGAACTTTTCCATGTTTAATCAATCTAACTTGGGAACATGGATGCTAAAAATCGAAAACCTACTGGAACCTTATAATGCTAGTGTATTTGCTTTGACGACTTCGGATTTGCCTAGAAGTGATGCTAAGAAGGGTGAGTGAAGTTTCAATTCATATATGTATTAATAATTTAGTGTATGACTGGCTTAGTTGCTATTGATGGTCAAAGTTGATCAAATTTGCAGTGGATTTCTTCCTATGTAAGACTACAACATCATACTTTGTTTATCGTGAATCCGCTTCGGGCAAATCGTAATTTCTTGAGTGTCTTTATACAAAAACTACATTAACTTTTTGCTTAATCGCTTCTAGTGTTGTTGTGGAAGCCTTCACCCTTCGATTGAATGCGCAAAAAAATATTCATATTTTCTTGCCATTTACCAATTTATCTTGTACCAGTAAACATTATTATCAAGTTGAAGTGCCAATAAAAATCTGTGACGGATTGAACATAATTTATTTATTTGATTAACGCGCCAAGAATGTGGGGTTCACGCCAAAATAGGTTTCACAAAAGCATAAAAATCCATCAAAACTCGATCAAAGTCCCATAAACGACCGTTTCTCATAAGCGCAAATTACAATTAACTTCCCAAACTGCGATTGACATTGAACTGGGTGCTACTCATCATTTCTGGATAATTCCGCATTACATTCATCCCGTTTTGAAGATCTAATGGCGTTAAATCGGAGGAACTGGGTGGTCATTGGACATATCCACTTTTTCAATCCACTTGTGTGGAAAAATGTTACTTAAATGGCCAGTTATAGCAGCACTAAAGTGCCAATCGATAAACTAATCTCCCGTTAGAACCGGAAGTGTTTAAAATAAAATATTCAAGCACAAGTGTGCAAGTCACCTAGGCAAGAATTTTGCTCTCTTAAACCATCCCGAAAGCTCCCAATTCGTTCAGTATCATTCACTCTGCAAATTCCGTAAATTGTTATGAACCACGTAATGCAAAAGTGGCAATTACGGATAAATATAATAATGGTAAATAAATAATAAATAGATATGAGAAGTTTACATTTTATGATCATGAAATTTAAGCTAACGTTTTCTTTGCAATTTTTGGAATTAAGAATTAAATGTAAAAATTGAGAAAATAGCAACTGAGATTAATTACATTGCAAATCTTAAGGAAATTAAATAAAGTATATACACTTTGTCAGCCTACCTTAAAGCCAATGAAACAGTGAAATTAAGTAGAGAGATCAGAATCACTTTAGTGCTAGTGTACAACTTGACACACACAACTTGTTTAGCAGCGCAGCGCAGCAAAGAGCGATTTTAGTAAACTATCAATATTATTTTTATTACAAACATATTTAAACAGACTTTGTACAAGGCAGACAGTCAGATAGATAATAGATACGTCATTAAACATATGATGTAAGCTGCGAAAGAAGAAAAATGATTTGACCTTGCTGCTCTTTGTGTTAACGTATTTCTTTACACAAACTTATCAATCTGCGTTGAAGCTGTATATTTACCAGTACTTACAATTTCAAATCAGATTTGTTATCAATATATTGGCCCAACTAAACTCAAGTAAATACTATTTCACAACTAGTCCCGGATATACAAGCGTGTACGAAAATCTAATGAGTGTATGAATGGTATTCATATATTTTATGCATTGTCCTTACTGCCATTGAAAATTGATCGTGAAAATGGAATGTTTGTATTTTTGTCACTGGGAAACTTTCAAAACTACTCGCTCGATAGGGCTAATTTTATCAAAGTATATGTTATTAAAAATAGAAAAGTTTAACTTTTTATAATCGGGCTAACTGTCGGTCCAATATTGGCTTTAAAACTTTTAAAACTGGAGAACTTCAATTGTGCAGCTTGAGTGAATCTTTATAATAGTTAATCTAAAAACCACAATTTAATATTTATTATTCCGTTTCAGTCGAGGGCATTTATTTTTTCCGTCGTTCAACAGTACTAATTATATTAAATTGCCGCCATTTAATACTTTCTAACATCTCAATCGATTTAAAACGTTCGCTAAATGCGTATATTCCAAAGGTAATATCAACCCGGTTACAGTATCACAGGCATTAATAAAACACTCTGTATTTGACACCCTTCTGTAGCGTGAGCGTTCGAAAGTCAAAGAACGTTCAGCACTTTTCAATTCGTTATTTTTTTGCATATTTTACTCCAATTGTTAGCGTTTAAAAATTTGAAACGTTGCAATAATGACTAACATTAATAAAGGAAAAACATTAATACCTACATGGGTTTTCAAAGGATATGTTGAAATGAGGCGTAACCGACAGGATAAGTCACAGAATTGATAACTGTTAAGATAACTTTGTTCAGACACTATTGGGCAATATGTGTAACTAATTTAACAACGGCAAGACAAAGTATGTCACAGAAAACACCGATAGTATCCATCATCACATGTACATTAAATAAAGATACGAAATGACACACATTAGTAAAAAAACACATATTAAATAAGTATATGTATGCGTGTCGTTTGTAAAGAAATAACCCGGAACATGTGCATGGATGAATTGATGAGCGACATATTCACGTACATGAAAATGTATACTTTTACACCGTAATAGTTAACACCAGAGTCATCAGAGTAATGAATACGATGTACTCGTATGAAAATGGTAGACAATGTTGAGGTCAAATGGTTTATTCGGTCATTCATTGCATTACAGCAGGGTTCAATTGTTGATTTAAAAAAAATTAATCACGATTTACATCAACATGCAAAGAGCACCTAGCTATAGAAAAAAAACGCATGTTTAATATTTCTCTACTTTTTTCTATAAGATGGATGAATGAAAATCTATTGAATTTATAAAGTACTCAAATAATTTATTCCTCATATTACATAGAAAGCAAACAAAGTACAACATATCAAAAAATACAGTAGGCACATTATATTTCAAATTCTGCAACTAGATACTTTTTCGACACTTTTTTATCCTAATTAAGCATATTCCTGATTTTCCATCTATAATCTATCGGTCTAGCTGCGTTCGATTTTTTATAAGATATCGTCCTTCAGTCCCTTCCAGAATTCGCTATCACGAAAAATCTGCTATCTATAAGTTTTTGACCATATCAAGCTCAAGACGTTCTTTTCAGCTTATAAGTCCTGCCTTTAATATAACTTCAGCAATTAGCCATTCAGTTGCAACCAAATTCATTATCTTCGACAGCTTTTTCTCACAATAATTAATTTGCTTCCAATAAACACATCGTGGATTCCGGACGTTCCTCATGTAGAAAGCTTCACTGAATTCTTCATAAGAAAGGTAAACTTTACACATGACGACATTGTTATACATTTTAAGTTGCAGAGTTCATTTTAAAAATTAATCACAGACTTAAAGTTAACATGAAACACTTTCTCAATGTTGCTTATCAACAAACTAAGGCCCTCACAAAATGTGGTGGTCCATGTACGCAAACCACAATTAATTTATTATTAATCACCACTTCAGAACAGCATCGGTCAAAATGATCTTCCATTCTAAGAGTGTTGACATCCTTTCATCTGGTATTGAGATGCTTCCTGAACAAAAATGGCACATCTGCCGTGCTAGTGTGAGAGTGTTCGGGTGCTCGAGGGTCTTACAGTTCACGTATTCACCAATAAGGCGAGCAAGAGCGAACACGAGCGAGTGAGCATTTTCAATAATCATCTAATGAGGTCGGGTTATCGAGCGAACAAACGTTTGTTTGCGTTCCAAAAAGATCGCTTGTTTATGCTTGTTCAATGTAGATGAAATTTTCATATCGCATTCTGTCCGCACTCGAATGCTTGTGATGTATGCCATTCTCCTAGACCGGGTTAACTGTTTCACTGTAATACTTCAATTTAATTTAACATAAATTTTATCGGGATATTTGTAGGTATTTTTTTATTTCCTCGTTTTCCATACAATTTGTTCAGATGTTTTGAAAGGATAAACGAGAGTTATAAAATCGTTTTTTGTTATTTTCTTTTAATAAACTCGATACAACAAAAGCAGTACTGACTAAGATTAATTAAACGTTCGCAGAAAATAGTCAGATCAACTGCGAACATAAATATATTGATTCTGATATGAACAAGATGTCAATATATTGAGCGAACACGATGAAGCATACATGAACGAAACCAAATATTCGCTCTTAATCGCTTTGGTGAATACTAGCGATGGCGAATTCAACAAATAGTTCCAGTACATACATTTTCGGTCAAAGCTATATTATTGGAAATAGCGGCCGCTCGTCTGGCATTTATAATGCTAATTGTGTAGCGTTTAAGTGTTTAAAACGCTAATTGTGTTGCGGCTAGTGTATTTGTACTGGATCTACTTATTGTTCTAGTGCTTTAGTTCTCAATCTGTTATTTTTTAAATTAAATATTTCACAAGTTTGAAAGGATATTTTTTTTGCAATTGAGTTGAACAACGAAACAAATATTGCGACATATAACGGCTTGATTCTATTTTATTGATTCTATTCATGATTCGCTTAAGCTTTGAATCTGAAAACGCACATTTCATGAATTTTTTTCAAAACTTTCAAACCCTTTATTGCTAATTCTCAATAATATCCGAACAATTTTTTCCCGGTAAAATCTCCGTATTTAATTAGTAACAGCAGGACTCGTCTTTCTACGAGAAATATTAATTAATATATATTTCTAAATGTAAATAATTAATGAAACATTATATGAGTATAATGATCCAGAATTTTTTTCTTTTCTATTTAATTTACAGATTGATAGTGACAGCTTAAAATATAAAAGAAACGCTAAAATATGTACACCATTTAATTGGAATTATACAGGGTAATTAAAAATTTTATGTTTTAACTTTAAAATAGTATTTAACGTTCCCAAATAAGAAAAAAATTCATATCAACGTCGGTCCGCAAACGCTTTCTTTCAAAATACATGATGTCATGTTTGAAAACTTCAAACGTTTTTTCTTTATAAACTTATTCAGATATTTGTTTGAAATTTGAAACATAGCTAATTTATTATGCTCTACAATATTAGACATGCCAACTGATTATTAAATTCCAAAATGTCTTAATTTTTCTAGGGTTATTCTTCTTATTCATATTCATATTCATTCTTTTTTTACCTGTCTGACGACAGATTTTCCTTCATATCCCTTGTTCAATGTAATTGCAGATGAATCACAAAAAACCCCTTTATTTAGTATATTCATAAATTCTTGATAAAATTCGTTAATTGTATTGCTATTATTAAACAGAGAAAAAGCCAAAGTAGAGCAGGACTGCATAGTCTAGATTCTAGATAAAAAAATTTACAAACTTTGACGCTCTGTATTTTGCACCCGAAGCGTTTTTTTTCTTATTTTGCGTTTGTTCTTATGTTTAAGTATATGAATTTATTTCCTTATTTTTCGGTAAGACTTGGTCCTCAAATTATTGCACTCAATTTTAAATCACCATGTAGACGAAGTGAAAACGGTCAGTTATTTTCGTTCACGTTTGCCTATAAAATAAGCTGTGGTCATCATAAGCAAGTATTCAAACGAAATTTATAACGTTATAAATATAGCTTTAAATTATATTATTTGTTATATTCGTTATAATAAATAAATAATATTCCGTTATTCCCATCTTCGGTGAATGCACACCACCACAAAGCGGCCGACTGTAATTCGATTAGCATCTGCCTAAATGATGATTTTTCATGGAATATTTATAGATCGCAATTTTCCAAACCAGCAAATTTAAACCAACACATAAAGTTCACAATGTCTCATTCAATGTTCAGATATTCTAATAGTGTGCCAAATCAGTATTAAACTAATTTAAAACGTTGCTTTATAAAAAAGAGTTATAAAGCGACACGTTGATATAAAAAAACATATGTTCAAAAGCAGATCTTCAAGTAATACTAATAACTCTCTCAACAATTTTTTTGTGGTTTATAAGTGTCATACAGCATATAAGGAGCTGCCAAAGAATATTTCCTGAAAGCCCCTCAAGAAAAAAATTCAAATTTTAACCGTCATTCTGGTAAAATTCCTGCAAAGCCAGTATAAAACTTGAATGAAACTCCTTGCCAGTTACCAATCGCAAAGACACCGCGAGTTAAACTTTACCGTTTCCTAATCAATTGTTTCAAATAGTTACATAAATTTATAAAATAACGCATCAATGGACAGTAAAATGTACTGGAAAACTATTAAAACTTCAAGCACAATAGGAAAATAAATTTGATACTGTCTGGGCCTATCGTATCTAATATCCATGGGTGGCAGGTAAGCAAAATGAGGAAAAGCGGTAGAAAATGCCGGATATATAGGCAAAAGAAAATGGGAAAATTTCCAGCATAACTTCCTTAGTTACTGACGGATTGAAACGCAGAAAAACAAGCGAATGAAATTGTTCAACAGCGAATTGAAAACTTTTTGAATAGCAATAAAACATATAACAAAACCTCACATTTACCATACTGCTCGATAGATAATTAAATTGAAAATATTCTAAAACCAATACTGGTAGCGTATCAGTACAAAAATTATTTAATTCATTTCAAGATGCCGTAAATTGATCACGCCCGGATTTTTACGGTGTCGTAATGGACTTTACATCAACTATACCCAGACAGAAATGTACGAGCTTCAATACTGGAAAATAGTTTTCAAATTTTAAGAATACATATTTCGTTTTAAGGAAAGGGAATTGAGATCATTCAATTGTTACAGCGTACAACTAACTAATGTGGCTCCAAAAATTCCAGTTTAACATTTTATTGAACCCCGAACTTACTATAGAGAGGAATCATTTCACTTTATAACATGGAAAATTTAATTTATGAGCATTTGTAATGTAACGATGATAAATACACAAGTTTGGCTGATGATTTAAACTGATGTTTAGATTATGGTTTGGCCAAACAAAGATATACCAGCCTTGGTAAGAGCGACTTATATCCAACTCAAACCATTACGGTAGAAGTAGGATTGGGCTCAGAACTAATCTTAGCTGCTGGAAAAAGTGGTGAAATATATTTCGAGGTAACTAATTGGGGGACTTCTACAGAGCTCGTTACATTTTCCTGTAGCGACCTGAAATACCTTTTACAAAAACTATCAACATACAAGTAAGTGGGAGTGTGTTTTAGTTTACTTCGAACGTATTGCAAATTTGTTAATTCACTATTTCAGAAGATACCTTGACCCTCAAGAAAGTACTATAGTAACACTGTATATAGACGGAACTGATGGCCCATATGAGGATCAAATTACATTTTCGGTGACTTCTAAGTTTCAAATAGTACAAAAGAAAGTTATTTTGGATGTTGGATTGACCCAGCCCCTGGACATGATTGCTCCAGAGATAGAGTATTCATATCAAAGTGACTGTACTGAAATTTGGTATTTAGGGTGTAGTAAAGGCGCCTGGACGTTAGAGATCATGGCTAAAGATGTGGATTCGGGTAAATTATTAATTAAATTAAAAATCAGCATCACAGTTTCAATGAATGTACCATATTCTAGGCTTGTTGAAAATAAATACCGAACCCAAAGGGTTGCAAATTTCAAAGGGATATACTTCTGGCACTAAAGACTCTGTAATAGGACACTACAGTGGTTCATGCTGCGATCCTGAACTAGAGATATCTGTCGTAGATAGAAAAAATAATAAAAGAACTATCGCACTTAACGCGTATCGTAAGTGAAACATTCAGGTATCTGGTAAATATTAATAAAGTTTATTTGCAGGTGCAAGATTAAGTATTGTGGCTATTTCCGCTATAGTATTAGGCATATTTCTTTTTATAATTGTGATTGCGGTCATTATTGTAGTTGTTCTGAAAAAATGGAAGAGTAAGGAGTCGTTTGACCTGCCAACTTATAAGGGAGGTAATATTTGACAATTAATACAGGGGATTATTAGAGAGCAAAACGAGGCAAATTTATGGAACACCTTAGCTCTCGAATATGGCACTAGTTGCAATAGTGATAGCACATCTACCACACAAAAATCTTCCGCCTAGAATACGTTTTTACACTGTTCCATAATATATTCAAGTTATTAATTTTATAGAATGTAAGCATTATGTTAATTATGTAGCCCCAGTCAATGAACTATGTGAATTTAATTGGAAATAAATTCAAAGATTAGTGTGGTCAATTACATGCTAGGGTAAAATGTACAAGCTCTCCTTTGAGACCATGGGTAAGGAGGAATACAAATAGGTAACTTACCTGTTGTAATATCAACCACAGGTTGAGGAGGTTTCTCCATAGCTGGGAATAGCACAGCATGCTGAGAAAACTCCTCATAAGTACTACCTGTTACGGACGGGTTAAACAGGGTGTTTTTCACAGGTTTTTTAGGGTCCGTCATCGTTACTAAAAGTGAAAAATTGGAGAATTTTTTTTATTTTGAGTTAACAGCTGTTTCAAACACCAAACCTTGAAATTCGTGTTGTCAATGTCAATCACACATCACAGAGGTGAGCACACTCTGTGATCTATGATGTCAAGTAAGTCGTGTTATGTTATTTATGTTTTCATACACGCCAGCTAGAATAGTAATCTAATCTGATTAGTTTCTGCTTCAACCATTAGATGTCCGCCTTTGCAAGCAGCTTAATTTTAGGATTTGGGTGGGTTTACATCGGCTAAAATCGCGTGCGAAGTTGGACGAAAGATCTGAAGTTACAGTCCATCCTGGATTTTACATCAATTTCAAATATTGTTAAATACATATTGATTTAAAAAGCTCGCAACCTTGACTTATGAGATAGACAAAGGCAGAGGCTCAAATAATCTCCAAAACTTCTATAAAATTTATAACATTATCGTATCACTTTAATCGAAAAGTTAGTTTTCTATGAATGATCTAAAGGGCTTAAATGAACATTACATGCACCAAAGACGCAGAAAAATACGCACAAAGAACAGGGAACCGAGAAGTACCTACGTACGCGTACAAATGTTCTAAATATTAATTTTTTAATGCTTCTTAATGCTTTCTTAAGTTTGCTTCTATTTCTTTTGAAGTTAGGTAATTTTGCGGCACATCATGAGTGAAACACGGTTTGTTGTAAAGCTACCCAAAAGCTCAGAAGCACTGTATCGATAATTTGAATATTTTCTGAGATAATGGCTGTTCTAAACTCCGGAAGCATAAAGTTAAAAACATTTTTGCTTCTATCGCCTTGGACGTTGAGAAGTTCGGATAAAATCAGTTGGCTAAATAGCTCTTGAGACGTTTTAGAAATATAACGTTTTCAAACTTCAGGCCCCTAAACGAACGCGAAGCCCTTTTTAAAATTGTATTTTTCATAATTTAATTCATAAGATATGTGTAAGATATCAGGTATGTTTTGCTTGTCAAAGCTTCACTGTTTCTGCCAGCAACATGGATCAGCCCAGGGAGAAAAAAGATATACGATGTTATAGCATCATGTCTTCTGAGTAATGTGGATCTTCAGTTGGCGTATATTAATTTTTATTAAAATAGTTTAAATAATTTAAATAAAAAAAGTTATATCCGGTCACAATTTCCGCGCGAAAGTTTTTTATTTGTGAAACTCAGGCAAAAAATCTGGGCGAAAACGCTGGATTACTAGTTGATCTCATCTTTCAATTAATTTAAGTTGTTAAAGTTTTTATTCATTCTTGTTTATTTTACTAAGTTATCATTATTTTCACGTTTACGAATAATGATTTTGTGATTTTTTGCGCGAAGCTTGCAATAAAATTTTGTTGGCACAGTCTTCTTTGGAATTTTAAGAAAGTTGAAAAATATTTCGTTCCAAAAATGTGACTGATAACGAAAAAATTAATATGTTGTCGAATGGCTCAAGATAAACAGACGATTCAATATCCGAATTACTCAGACACCGTATAGCTTTTTTGTCTCCGAGCAGAAGTTTAGCAAACAATTTCTGTTGAATTGAAAATTCACCCCAGTAAAATCAAATGACATCAACCCTGATTTCGTTTGATACATGGGTTTATAAATACAAAAACTGATAAACATTTTATAGTATATTCGAAAAAATTATTCAGCAATCATATTCCATCCAGGAAGATTCTCTTAAATTAACTTCCCGGGGACAAAAGTAGTTTTGGATGGATGTGGTGGCAGGTAGGGCTATAATCCTAAGATCACCTGCAGGATTAATTTGCAAAGCATTGTAGAGTGGAACAGAAGTTAGTTGATTTCCGTAAAAGCCATATCTGATGTTAGTTAAACGATTTGTCTGAGGCTGTCCTGTGATTGGATTAATCTTGGCACATCGTGCGGTAGCTAAAATGCAAGAAGTGATGTTCTTGTAAAGGATGACTTGGTCTCCTTGTTCTTCGGCCGGATTATCCTGACTTGCCATCGCGTAACAGTCAGCTATCTAGAAAGAGCTTTGTTTCAAATAATACGTTTGCATTTAAGTGATGTAAACACCAAAAATGACAAATATTGCGCAATTTAACTCGGATATTTCAACATAATCACATTCATGTAAGCAGAAGTTATATCAGTAACAAATAAAAGCAAAAAATATTGTTATCAATTATTTAGATTTTTCGTGTCAGCGAGCTCACGTTTTAGGTTGTTTTTAACAATTAGCAATTAAATAAGCAGAAAGAGATTATCTAAATATGTCAATCTTTTTATTATAGAAAGACCAGAGCCGAGTTGCGAAATTTGCGATTATATAATGAAGCCATGTTTTGATAAAGCGAATTTCTAGGCCATCAGTGTAGAATACTCTGATATAGTGCTTCTTGATGCCACACGCAAATATCTAGAGTTGATCTGAATGAAGCGAATGGTACTAATAATAATGCAGAAGACTGACCAATATTTCCGAATTGGTTCTCCTGATGCATCTGACGAAGTCGCAAAATCCATCAGCACAAATCCCATTGCTTGTAGTTGTCGCTCCCTATAATCCGAATAACAAAAATATCATCAAAAGTCAACAACACAACAATAACGTACATCAATATTAGCAATACAATTATTGTATTGCGTGCCTGAGAAAAACCTACTGCTATATAGAGCCAATAGAGCAATTGAGGGTTGATTACTGTTAGCTCTTACAGCTTGCAAAAATCCAGCTGCACAAGCTACTGAATCAGCAACGTTTCGACAAGCGTAAGTGAGCAAATTACCTAATTGAAGACTAAAAATAAAAACATAAAATACCTATATTCAGGGTGATCCAGGTTCCAGGGTAGAAACAATATAAGTATGCTTTATAAACTAAATTCGAGATACGCTTCGTTGCGGAAATTCAGGGTATTTAAATTTTGCTTGAAAAAAGCAAATATGTTATTTGATGCCGAACTGCTGTAGATATTTAAAGAAATTTGCCTTGGAAAATGGAAAAAAATGGCTTTGGATTAGTGCAAACGAGAGTGCACATTTTTAAAAAGAAACAAAAAATCTAACTAATAAGTTGTACAACTCAGCGTTTTCAAGTAAAAACGAAAAAATAATATAATATCATAAAGAAGGTGTTGGTATCGAAGCCACTGACAAAACAAAAATTTGTTTAAATATCCACATCAGTTTGGCGACAATTAATGAAATTGATTTTGTTTGAAACCTGAATTTTTTCACCACGAATTTTCCTAACGAAGCATAGTGTATAATGCAAACTTGTATTGTTTTAAGATTCTCCAACCTTATCTGGAGTTTTCCGTCTGGAAAAACTGGACCACAGTGTACATAAATAAGCCTTATTCCTAAACAAACAGGCCATCAACCCAATATTCTTATTCTTATTATAATTTTACAAATTATTTATTACATATATTTTTCTTTGTCCTGTTTGCAAGTGTTCGGGCAGAACAATTATTGGGAAAATAGAAGAAGAGCTGTCCTCCATTGTCTTTAAAGACAAAGCAGTTTAGTATGTTGTTTATTTCATTTTTCTTGTATCTCAAGCTTATTTTCGATTTTTCTCTTATTCTCCTTATATTATTACAATTGTTCTGTTGTTTGTATGTGTTTTTGAGTTTTATTGGAGGCATATTTGTTCGTAATCCAACCGGGCATATTTATATGGTGGTTTTTCTGCTTATTTCATTGCCTTTATAAGTTAGCGATCGGAAGTATTTTGCTTTTTGAATTCAGTTCATGCTCAGTTAACTTGAGTCTTTGACTTTGCGCCTTTCGCAAATAATTCTTGAAATCAAAACTTTTAAAGGACATTTCTAATTAGTTGAAATTTAGTTGGTTTTTATCATTGCTCGGGAATTGAGCAACAGTTTTATTTTTAAATGACTTCTGGGCGTTTTTTGTTTAAAATTAATTCGGTTATTAATTTAAATTTTGACGTTGTACATTAATCACTGCAACTGAATGAAATTCAGACAAATATATATGACTTAATTTAAGTTTTTCGTTTAGTTGTTGCTGACTTTCGTTAAGTTGGAACGTAAAATTTGACTTTGGAAATATTTCAAAGCGAATAGGCACTTTCTACAAAAATGTCAACAATAAACAAACTGAAATCGAACTGCCAAGCAAGAGCTGAACAATGAATCATCGAAAGGCGAACACGCAAATGATTAAATAATCATGTTTATTCTGTACCTCGGTGTTTTTTTTGAAAAGGTGTATGAATATTCAAATTGCTACCGACAGTGGACAAAATCGGTCGATAATCTTTGTGTCGCGATATGCGAAATATAGAATAATTGTGGCCCTTAGTGCAAGTGCGGTAGTTTGTGAAAGTGTAGTGAACTTTTTGGAGATTAATGAGTGGAAAATGGAGGATGGGGCCCCAGCTTGCAGAAAGCTGGTAAGATATCTCTAATCTATAAATACTTTAGCGCTTAGAGTTTAGTTATCCGATAAACAACTACAGTTTTATGGATTCTTTATATTTGTCTCTCTTTTGTTTTCCCATTTCAAATAAGTTTGGCTTTGGACATATTTCCTGCAGTACTAAACACATTTTCTTTATTCCTTCCAAGTGGCACTACAAAGATTTCGATAAGCTTATAAGCTTAACATTACTTTTCCCCTGGTTGCCATGTACATGTAGAACTGTTAGTCACATATTCATCAACTGACTCGCAGGATGGATTTGCTTGATATCTATTCAGCTATTGGTGCTTCGAACTTCAGCCGCTCGAATTCAGCTGCTCGAACTAACCGTAAAATTTTAAAGTTTGCTTTGTTTATGCACGGTTTGTGCATTCGTGTATGGCTTATGACTGGTATACACGTTTTTATT